ATTCAAGACTTTCTCCTAATGAGAAAGCCTTGAACGGGTATCTAGGCATATGATGATGCAATGCAAACATTTCATATATTTATTGTTGTATTTAGTTTGTCATTATATAATACACAAATCTAATATCAAGCATGAAAAAACTTTTATTAAAACAATAATAGAGAGAAAGAAATATTTATAGCTTAGAGAAGTTTATAATTCATACCAACACAATGGATGTATTCTTTCTAACTTCTTGTTTGAGCTTAATTAATGTGTAGTCTTCAAACTTAACTAGCTTGAACTTCAATTCATATATGAACCTATAAAAACGCAATTAGACAAAAAACACATTAAAAGTTAGTAAGTATGTATACATGCATCCATTAATTGAACTAATAAGGGACTATAATTAATTGTAAATTAGCCTAAACTAAACTATAATTCTTCACTTATCTAAACTAACCTATAATTCTTCAATTAACTAAACTAACCTAAACTTACTTGAACTTAATTAATTGTAAATTCAACCTTGGTGGTAACAATCTATGCAAAAGCCAACAAAGAATAACCCAAAACATTATGCAATATCACAATGCAAGCTCAAATCAGCATAGTAATTCAAAAAATAAGAAACCCAAATAAAATACATACACACAAAAACCTAGTGTGAAAGCTCACACGCACACCCAAATAAAATACCTTGAAGTTGCTTCAATGGAGGTGAGAAAGCTCAAACGCACAGCCCTTCAATGGAGGTGAGAAAGCTCGCACATCCCTTCAATGGAGATGGAGGGAGAAGAGAAGAGAAGAGGGATTGCGTGGGAGTTGAAGACATCAAGAATTGAAGGAATGAGGAAGGAGGAGGGAAAACGCAGAAGGAAAGAGAATGAGCAAGTTCGTACCAGGCCATTTAAAATGAAGCAATTGCATGAATTGAAGACGTTGATGAACAGTATAAACCCGCATTTTTTTTAAAAAAAAAAAACGCAAAATTAAAATCAACCTTTTTTTGGCAACGGTTAACCGTTGCCAATGTTAATCATTTTTTTTAAAAAAAAAAAAATTAGCAACGGTTAACCGTTGCCAATGTTAATCAATATTTTTTTTTTTTAAATGGCGCTCACTTAAGTTGGCAACGGTTTTTATGAACCGTTGCCATAGGGGGGTTGCCTATTTCTATTTTTCTACTAGTGATAGCCTTGGAAAACGTGCCTACTACTAGGTTTTAGTAAACCCAGGCCTGACTGGGCTTTGCCTAGGAATTTGGGCCGTAGGAGGCCATTTCCTGATGGGTTGTACGTCTGCCACGTGTCGTGGCCTGATTGGTCCACCCTGGACCTCTCACGAGGTGACACTGGCGGACTCTGATTGGTCCACGTGGACGACACGTGGCAGGACGTGAGTGGTCCACGTGGCGAGGAAAAATCCCCTAATCAGTAATAACATTGAATCACTTCAAAATTCAAAATTTATTATGGTTTCTCTCTCTTTATAAAATTAATTTCTAGCTCTATATAAAAAAAATGAAAATTTATTCACCAAAAATATTTTATTAATATGGAATGTAAATAATAAATCAATTCCATAAATTAAGGAATATAAATTACAAATCAATCCCTTAAATCAAGGAGGGAATCATTTTGAATGTTTTTTGCTCGTGTACTTTATATTTGTATACAATGTTTTTTCCGCGTCTTTTAAAACCTATGTCAGGTGCACGCACCATGTGCCTGATACACTCGGGTGTATGATGAAATTCTTCGTCCCTTATTTACATGCTTATTTCTCAATTTTCATAGTTATTCAGGAAATTGGGTGATTCTTACTCTCTCCGTGTTTTAATAAGTGTTACACTTACCAAATGTGATCTTGTTTTAATAAGTGTTTTAATAAATGTTACACCCGAAATGGAATTCCGACATTTAAATAAGGAACCGAGGGAGTATAAGAAGTGTTTTTAAATTAGGAAATTCTACTTCCCACAAATTGTCATGAGTTGGTACTTGACCTACAATATATATATATTTTCTACTTCCTCCGTTTATTTTAGTTACACCACTTTTCTAAGACGGAAGTTGTAAATTAGTTGCATCACTTTGCTTTTTAACTAATAAGTTTTTTTTATCTCTCTTCTAGCATGTGTCCTATTTTTTTCGAAGAAAGTTAATGGGGTATTATCATTATTAAATTAAATCATATCCGTTTACGCTAGAGAAATAATACTCTGAGGAAAGTGGTCTTCAAAAATTATTACAGAGTCGGTACCAACATCCCATCTCACGATGAGATGAGCAACAACATTCCCCACCCTAAAGTAAAAACTAAAGTGATAGCAACTAAAAATTGGAGTAAGTATTAAAAAAAAAAGGTATAATAAGGAGCTATATAATTATAAATAAAAAGTTATATTTGATGTTTTCAATTATTAAGATGGAGATTTTTATTTTTTATTTTTTAAAATAGCCTTTTAGTTCATCAAGTGAATATAAATTTATTACTAAAGCTCTGTTCACTTCACCTTAAAAAAATAATATTCAACAAAAATAATTTTAGTTCAATAAAAATAATTTAAGTTTAGTAAAATTAATTTCAATTTAGTAAAAATCCGTAACTTTAAAGAAGAAATATAATAGAGAATCAGTAAAAAATAATTTCAGTTCAGCAAAAATAATTTCAGTTCAGTAAAAATAATTTAATTTCAGTAAAAATAATTTCAGTTCAGCAAAAATAAGGTGGAATGAACGGGGCCTACATACGTAGTATTTAAGATAGACAAAAAGTTAAAAAAAAAATAAAAATAAAATAAAAAATAAAAAAAAAAAACTAGGCGGGTTTAAGAGGGAAAATTCCAATAAAAAATTTCACTTCAGTATATGAGTATATACTCCATGGTATACTATCTTAATTACATTCATTCACACATTTTCCAAAAATTTATTAGAAATAAAAGTCAGTCACATCTCAAAAAAGGAGTTGTATAATAATTGTAGAGTTGGAAATATAAGGTGGTGTGGCTGATATATATGGTTGCATGGTATCAATTACAAAAGGTTTTTGTATAATTTTGAGAGACATTAATTAAGTAGTTAAAAAGGTTGCAAGCTTGAAAAGGTTGGAAAGCAAAGAGTATCATAATATACTTTGGCTGGCTTGAATGCTTTTCAGGTTGGATTTAGGATCGGACAAATTTAACCCAACCCAAAATAAAATTTAGTTTTTGGAGTTTGAATCCAATTTTATGCCAATTTTCACCAAATCGATATAATCCAAATCAATTTAGAACTAGTTAATTAGATTTTATTCAAAAATGCAAATTAATAAATACGACTCATTTTAATGTATAATAGCCTGTGAACCTTATTTTGAAATAATAAATTAAATTAAAAAGTAACAAAAGTCTAAACTTACATATATAACCATCTTAAGAGAAATAAAATTCTAAAACAGTAACACAAACATAATATAACTCTTAAAGGTAATTAACTATTAGTATGATTTTGGTTTGTTTTTGGTGTTTTGAGCCAGCATGTTGATCCGAATATTTGATTTAGGAAAAAAATTAAGTTCAATCCAATTTGATTAAACAAATAATTTAATTTGAATTATTAATTCAGATTCAATTGGATTGAATTTTGGATATAATTCAAATAATTTTCACCCTTACCCTTCTGATGTACCTTAGTTTAGCTTTGATCGACCTCAATTTAGCTATTGTTAATCATTTTGAAACAAATTGCAAGAAAATAAAAAATAAAAAGAACAGAGAGAGAGAGAGAGAGAAAATGAGCGTGTATTTCACCTTGTAAGGTAAGAAAGATATTGAAAAAAATTTACAACGATGATAACTTCAACGAACTTAGAACTGCTAATTAGGGGTTCTATGCATAGAGCTTCTACTAGGATTAGCAGTTCTGTATATAGAACCGCCAACATTATTAGCGGTTTTATACTATCAAATTCCAAACCTAGGTACTGATCTTACGTAGACATTATTGTGGAAAATAGTTTTTAAACTGACTTATATAAGGAATTAATTTGTACTCTATCCGTCCCATAATATAGTTCCTATTTTCCAATGTTGGAGATCCAAAATAATATTGTTCCTGTTTCTATTTTTGGATAGTATGTAAAGACTATTATACCCTTACTTTTTTTTTTAACTTTATTCATTGCACTTCCTAATTTACCCTTGAATTTTGCACATGCCTTGTATTTTTTTCACTTTTTCTCTCTAACTTTTGTCTATGATTGTAATTTTCACTTTTATTAATGTACTTTATTTACTTTCTCCTCTTATTTCTTGAATATCGTGAAAAAACATAAACAGGAATTATATTATGGGACTAAAGGAGCATTTTAGCATTATTCAGGAAAATCGCTTCAAATAACTTGGGCCATTAAAAAGAAAAAAAATGTGATGATTAATTTGAGATGGAGGAAATGTTTTACAATAACGTAAAGTCTTATTAAATTTGCCTCAAAATATATATACTTTTAAAATATCAACTTTAATAAATTTTCTTGATACGGAATAAAAAAATTAACGGTCAAAACCTTGCATTATTAGAATCTATTGCAAATTTCCTAAAAAAAAAAAATCTATTGCAAATCCTAACGATATAGCACCAAATCATCAATCTCATCGTATTTTATACTATAGTCGAATTCAAAAATTGCAAAATCAACATGCATGGATACTAACGATATAGCACCAAATCATCAATCTCATCATATTTATGGGAAGGTATAACATAATAACATATAAACATTAGCAAACGTGTATCTTTCCTAATAGGTAGACGAGGTAATACATGTTTTCCCTAAAATTAGGAATCACATACGTCGGCAAGCCCAAATAAGAAAATTGCATCTTTAGTACATGAAGTAGTACGTGGACTATGAGATGAGTTTTCAACATTTTAAACGAATCTCATTCATTTCATTAGTAAAAAAAGAAAGACTTTTAACAAATAAATAAAAAGAAAATAATAAATTAAAAAAAAAAAAAGAAAATCAGCGTCTCGTGATGACCTGACGATTCGCGCCCACACGTAGCGACCCCATCCTTGTATTTCCACTTTCTCTCTCCTCACTATTTAAACCACTTCCTCTTCTTCCCATTTTCTTCACAACGCATTATTTCTTTCTATCTCTAAAAAAAAATTTACATTTTTTTTGCAGTGACTTCTCTTTACTTGTCATTATTCTAAGGAAAATATGGAAGAACTCAAATTGAGTCAGAAAAAGCGAGCCAGAGTCGACTCGGACCCACCCGAGTTCGACGCCAAGAGGGTTCGAGAGGATCTTCTGAGAATACTCGACGACTCGGACCATGTACCCGAGCGTGACTCAGTGAGTCAGACTCACGATCTCGACTCGGTGATTCGGAGCTTCGAAGAGGAGATTACGGGTTCAGGATCTCGCTCTTCTCCGGTGAATATTGTCGATTTAACGTCGGATTCCGGGGAATATCCGTCGGAAATTGGACAGTTTTGTGAAAACGACGTCGGATTGTTGAAGGAGAGTGAGAGCGAGACACGTGTTGGTGATGGAATTGGAGTTTCGTCGGAGGTGTCCGGGGTAGGTGAGTTTTGGGATTTTCCGAGTTATGACTCGTTTGGGCTTACGATCGGGTATGAGCAGGACCACAATGATTACGTGGCATTAGACGGGATATTTGATCATTCTGATCTTAATTTCGGGTCGGATTTTTTGCGGAGACCCGATACACTGCCCGCTGTTTGAATAAATTTTTATTGGGCTTATTTTTGAGAAATACCCATGAAAAAAATTAATTTAAAGATAATGTACAAAATGATGCTCCGTATATAGAGAATTGTAGAAGTATGTATTTTCATTTACTACGTAGTTTTAATGAGAAAGCTAGTTTAGGGATGTTTGATTACATGATATCTTGATACAATTTGATCTATCAGAAATTTCAGCTGTTGGTATAATGAATTACTAGTTCTACTATCATAATGTCACTACACCGAATTTTGACAAGTTTTTATAGTATGGACTTAAACTAATTTTATGATACGGAGTAACATTTATTGCTTATAAATTCTAATTTGATGTTTTAATAAAGACAAATTTAACATGACTTTTGTTTTGAAATATATACTAGTATTTATCTTTCTTGTACGAAGTATTAGATTTCATCCATTAGGAATGAAGTGAATAATATACTCATGTGTTACTTATATGTTACAAAGAGTGAAATGTCAGTAAAAACAATGTCATAAGTAATACTCCGTACGAATATTGAAGGTCAAAACTTAATTGAATAATTGTAAAACTTAATGTGACGAATGGAGAAACATCATTATAAGTAATTTTTATGAAATCTAGAGTTTAATAATTTTGAAAGAACATGTTGGATTGTTGGGCATACATTTATAGTTTTTATACAATGTTTAATTATTGGGAAATTTTCTTTGATAACATCGTTTTTTTTTTAATTTTTACACTGGTGAATTGTAAAAATATCTATTATTTTTGGTAACATTGTATTATTAATTATCAAAGATAATAACTATTTTAATGAAAATCATTAACCATGGTTAGTTTTTTAAATTTTAAATGACTAATTTATTTTAGAAATAATTTTTTAAAAATAAAACCCACTCCCACTCCACCAGCCCAGCCACCCTTTACCTGCCAGCGTCTGACACCCGCTTGCGCCAAGCCTCCCCCCTCCGGCGTCCCCCACACCCCCATCCCCCAACCCCCTTTCCCATTAGGCTGAATCAGCCCTTTTCCCCTTCCCCGGCCCCACCCCAAAACGCGCCACCCAAAACGAGTCTCTTCCCTACCCCCACCATGAGCCACGCCCTCCAAACCTAATACCCTAAATTAATCATTAATGTTATAAGTAATAACTATAAATAGTTTATGATTGTTAATGATAATAAGTTTTTTTTTTTTTTTTTTTTTTTTACAATTTATCAAAGAGAAAATTGAAAAAAAAAGGGTGTTATCAAAGAGAATTTCCCTTAATTATTTTAGTGTATGTCTAGCTAATACTCCATATTTGAGTACGGGCAATGCTCCGATCTTTTCATGAAATTAATCATTATTTCTTCTATTTTAATTAATTATTACAGTTTGACCAATACACGAATGCTATAACATGAATAATTTAAATGTAATTTAAATGCAGTGGAAAGATTTGTAGTGTTGAAATTTGAGGTTGCATGTTCTTTACAGACCAAAAATATGTAAGTTGATGATATGAAGCGAGGAACATGACATGTAGACTTTTTCATTTGGAGATGAAAAAACATCAATTCCTCATGTCTCTTTCAATGTCTCTTTCAATGTCTCATTCATTTATATCATCTATATCATGGCATGATTATTCATACTAAAATTCTCCCCCAACAAAAATAAAAATAATTCACTCTATTTCCTAATTCCTACACTGTTCTCTCCTGCATCTATGATTTTTTTGCAAAAAAATTGTCAATATGGGTGCGTATATAAACTATTAAAAAATAAATTCGTTGAGTATCTTTTAGTTGTTTCATTTTGACAATACATGTACATTTACCATTTGACAATACATGTACATTTATCAATGTAAAATTTTGACTATTAATATCATTAATTATTAATTGGTATAAATTATAAAAACCCAATTAATTAGGTGGATTAATTATAAAAAATTCACTCTATTTCCTACACTGTTCTATCCTACATCTATTATTTTTTTTTGCAAATTTTGACCATTTATGTCACTAATAATCAATTTGTACTATCATATCTAGGACTGTTTACCGGTCCAAGACCGGACGGGACCAAAAATTTGAATTTCAAGAATTGAAAAACGGACCGATTAAGTTAGGACCGAACCCGGATAGGACCGGTTTGGACCTATTTTAGAATTTTTATAAAAAAGTTTTTTAAATTTTAAATAATTTATGAAAAACTCCAAAAAAAATAAAGGAAAAACAATATTTTAACGTTATTTTGTATGTTTAGTATAAAAAAAGCTCATACGACTAAAGTTTTCCAAGCTTGTTAAGGATAATCTTAATTATTACTAAAGGTTTTATGTATAATTTTAAGCAAAAAATCGATCCGGTCCAAGACCGATTTTTATAGGTTTTGACCGGACCGAAGACCGGGAAAATAAATTTCTCGACCTGGAGACCAGACCAATTAATTTGGTCCGGTCCATTTTTTCGATCTAGACCAATTTTTTGACACCCCTAATCATATCTAATCCGAATTCTCTAATTATACATTTATACTCATTCCTTGCAATTATCCACAACAAAATGATATTGATGTTAATATCATCTAAAGTGGATTAGTTTTAGGCCAAAATCCAATTAATTAGGTGGATTGGTGATGAAAATCAATCATAGGATCCCTAATACCGAGACCAAAGCTCTAACCAATTAAGGTATCTCTCACTCATCCTTCACTCTCTCTTGACATTGTTGAGGCAAATGACCCTATTCGATCAAACTTAACCATTGCGGTTTTGTTAGTTCGGAATCAAGTTGAAAACTTAACCATTGCGATTTTGTTATACCCTATACAGTACTTATATTCACATTATTCCCGCTTATTTTAAGGAAAACGATTTCAGGTAAGTTAATATCTAGTTAATAACTTCAAATAAGTTTAAATTAGATTTTAGAAAAGATATAGTTCATATAAACTCAGATAAGAATATATGATAGGTTTGATTTAGATTTAAGATAAGTTCAGACTCTATTCTATTCACATTTATATCCACTTCTTTTAGAAAAAACAATTTTTGATAAGTTCATATTCAAGTTAATAAGTTCAAATAATAATTTTAGATAGGATATAATAAGTTCATATAAATTCGGGTAAGATAAGTTTAATTTAGAAGATAAGTTCAGACCCTATTCTGATCTATTCACATTATTTCCACTCATTTTAGGGAATAATTTTAGATAAGTTCCTATTCTAGTTAATATGTTCAAATAGTTTAGAAAAGATACAATAAGTTCATATAAATTTGGATAAAATAGGTCTAGTTTAGAAGATAAGTTTAGACCTTATTCTATTCACATTATTTTAACTTATTTTGGGAAAACAATTTCAAATAGTTTCATATTCGAGTTAATAAGTGTAAATAAGTTTAGATTAGGTATAATAACATTAATAAGTTCATGTTGTGTTAATAAGTTCAAATAGTTTAGATAAGATATAATAAGTTTATATAAATGCGGATTAGATAGGTTTAGTTTAGATGAGTTAAAATAAGTTCATTCTCTATTTTATTCACAATATTTTTACTCATTTTAGAGAATACAGTTTCAGATAAGATAATTAAGATATTCCCTTTGTCCCAAGATACATGGAATATTAGAATGAACACGTAGTTTAATAAAACTTAAAGTGGGACCATATAAAACAATTGTTTAATACTTTAATATATAAAAGATTCTCTTAGGTATTTTAATACTGTTAAAATAGAAAAAGTAAGTGGTTTTTTTTTTCCTATCATTTCTCAAAAGTAAGTGGGCTCATGGAGAATATAAAAAAATAGTTTTAAAATTGTGGTCCTAGGCTATTTTTTGTAATGTTTCATATATTGATGGGAAGTGTACTATATCAGGTATTATGGGACGGAGAGAGTAAAATATATAATAAGTTCATATCTAAGTTAATAAGTTCAAATAAGTTTAGATAAGACAAAATACATATGATAAAATAAGTTCAATTAAATTTGGATTTTTTTTTAACTTACTTTTGTTTGAAATTTTTTATGTGAAATTTATTTTTTTGATCTTATTTTTGTTCGAACTTTGTTCAGCTGAATTTATGTTATTTTGATCTGAAATTATTTTTTCTAAACTTATTTGAACTAAAACTATCTAAATTTATTTATATTTTTGAGTTTTTTTTTTGTTCGAACTTTTTTTCTTTCTATTTTCTTAAAAATTATTTTATTTGAAATTATCTAAAATATTTTATATGTTCAAATCCAAGTTAACATTTTGTTTTCTTTCACAAAAAAAAAAAAACCATTTTTTTAATGACATTATATAATTTTATAAGATTAAGTAGGCAATTGAATAATAAAATTTAAATTAGAAAAAAAGACCAATAAAAGGAACTCATATGGAAGTTGAAGATAAATTTAAAAAAAAAAGATACATTTGCTGACTTGATTAGCTAACAAATAAAATAAACTAAAAAGCAATAATAGGACATTAGGACCTCATATTAGAAGTTGAAGATTGCTAAAGTTAATATCTATATCAGTTACAATAGAGCTTTTATCGGGAAAAATATCGCTATATAAAGTCGCCAGTCTCCCATTAGAGTGCAGCCTTCCTAATATACTAATATACTCGGCAAAATGTAGCTCTAGAGGTAGTTGTTAGCTGTGGTGGTAGTTGATAACTGTATGTGTAGCTGTTAGCTTTGAAAATAAATAATTAAGTATGACTATTTGGTAAAATAGTTGTTGACTAGCTATTAGCTGTAAAATTTTAAAAATATAAAGAATAATTCCAACAGCTACCTAGCTTTTCACAAAAGCTAATAATATTAACTTTTTACAAACGCTACTTCAACCACTAAACTCTACTCCTACCACTACCTTATCAAACACTCATGTTTTTTATTATGTAATGGTTTGAATAAGTCAAACCACTAAAATCTACCTAAAAGCTACTCAAAAGCTACTGTCGAACACACTCAGATTACGAGATTCTCCTATGGCTATAACTTATTAAACGATCGGAAATGTAGAAAAATTTGTAGAACTTTATAGGCTTGTTGACTAGAAAAACCAGCTTTATAATTTGGATTACAATCCTTTTCGGGAAATATTTTAAAGGAAAAATTGTAAATAATAATCCCAACTTTGTTGTATTTTTTTTTAATAATCTCAACTTTGGATTATTCTGGAATAATTCGAACTTTTGATGCTGTTTACTTTCTTCAATCGGGTCAACAAAAGTA